GTTTGGGGGGGGGGGGGGGTGTCCAGAACACGTTCCCCCTGCGGAGCCAAATCCTGCACGGGACCGAGATGGGTGGACAGGTGTCCCCTCCAGCGAGGCGCCTCCTGGTGGTGAAGCCTCCTGCTTCACACCCTGCATGTTCCCTGTCCTCAATCCCTGTGTTGCCTGCACTGTCCCTGTCCCTGTCCCTGCCCCTGTCCCTGTCCGTGACCCGCCCCTCACTCTTCCTCTGCATCCAGTGCTCACTCTGTTGCCTCTTCTCAGGACCCCTCTTGAGTCCAGCTTTTGGACTTGCTCCCCTGGGAGACCCGGGTGGCCCTGGGCACAGTCACAGGAACAAATTCAGCTGCTGGAGCCAGAGGACTGAGCTGCTGCCTGTGGCCCCTTGGTTCAGTCCTGTTGTCAGTGTCGTCTCCCTCCTGATGGGTGAATTATATTCTACTTTGGGGGAAGAGGGCAGGCTGTGAAACGGCCAGCCCCGGACAGCCTCAGCTGTTCATCCTCTTATTTTGTCACATTGCTGTCGAGTTGAACCGTGCACAGCTGGCACTTCCTAAAACTGGAGTGGGTTTTAGTGCCCCAGAGACATCCTGGTTTGCATTTCAGTACGCCCCAGGGCCACTTGTTTTCCCTCCTGACGCCTATGTTTGTCCCCTCATGACCCTCCATGTGCCTCTTGGTGCATCCCAGAGCCCCCACTCATCCCCTACTCCCGCTTCCAAACACAGAGCACACAAGAGGTGTTTAAAACTTGCAGAGTTTATTATGCTCCTTGCCATGCCGGAGCCGGCGCCGAGAGCAGCCCTGCTCCCTCTGCCCCTCCCCCCCCCGCAGCAGCTGAGCTGGGTACCCATTAACACCCTCCCACCAAAGCGCTAATAGCAGTGCAGTAAGGCAAAAGTTTTAATTGCCCAGAAAGAAAGAAAAGCTGTTTACACAACTGCCTGGGCATATCAGTCCCTCGTTGCTTTGTACCAAGTTTGGTTTTAACGTTGTGACATTCCCAGCCCTTCGGGTTTCTTTGAGCTTTGTGGGGAAGCTGCTGCTGCCGGCCCAACACCAGTGCGAATGCCCACTGCAGTCACCACTTCTCTGCCACCACGCAGGCAGCAGAGCAAGAGGCCAGCCTGGTGGGTTCACCCCTGTGGGTCACATTCATGGGGTCAGCAGCAGCTATGAAGTGAGCAGGTCTGAGCACAGAGGGAGAGGACCATAGGGGAATCAAGGGGCAATGCTTTAACCGAGTCCTCCACACACAGCCACAAGATACCACCACTGTACTTGCAGTGGTACACGGGGAAGTGCATATCCTATAGTGTATCCCAGTGTGGAACACCTGCAGCCCAACAGCTCCACAACAGCAGTGGCTAAAGCTCCATCTGGAGTCTTAAAAGGGGAGATTTTTACCCCTTCTGGTCCCTAGCCCAGGCAGGAGCTTGTTCCTTCCACGTCCAGGATACTGCTTCAAGCAATCCCAACATTACAGTGTGACCCTGTTCTGCCAAGCTCTGTCACACTACAGAAACAAGGAGCGGCAGGAATCTATCTCCACAGTAGTGGTCCTTTTTCTGAGACCCTGTGATGCCACTGTGCAGCTCCTGACACAGAAGTGTTCGTGTTGCTTCAATGGGATACAGCAGTTCCTGCTCCTGCTTTCACTCCAAATCCAGTTCTTACTAGTGTTTGAACTCCAAATGTGGGAGTAGCTTCAGCTGTCCTCCTTCCATCCTTGGACACCATTTCTTTCATAGCATCTGTGATTTTTCCAGATCCCACACCAGTAGGAGAATGAAGAAATGGCATCTACAGCCAGGGCTTAAGCATCAGGTCCTCAGACCTGATTGCCTTGGGCCAAGCAGGAGCATTACTGGTCAAAGCAGTGAAGGGGGAACCTCCAGGAGAAGCAAACATCTCCAAGAAGCAGTGATAGTAAAGTAATCAGTTTATGGTCTGAGCTCTTTCTGAGCTGGAGATTCAGCTCAGACACTTTCTCCAGTTCCTGCTGGACTGCCCAGACTTGATGGCGGAGGTCGCAGTGAGAAGCACAGCTGAGTGAAGAAGTGAGATGCTCCAATGGAGGCACTGCAGCACCTACTGGTAGCTCTTAGAGTCTCTGCACTGAGCCCACAGCTTCAGAAGAACCTCAGCCCTTTTTTTCAGTAGGTATTTCCAAAGTCAAGATTTCATTCAGGGAACCATTCCCACCCACCCCACATATCCCAAGCTTTGCATGTTCCTCAGAGTGGTCCATGTCCCAGGGAATGGTGGGCACAATCCTTATTTCAAAACAAGCATAGCCTCTGTTCCATCTTGCCTTGTCAAATGGAGTCCATGAGTGAGGTAGTATTCCCGCCGGAGGAAGGCATAGAAATAATCCGAGATGAGCAAGATCTGCAGAAGTGAGATGTTCAGACACATCAATGATGCTTCAGAACAAGGAATAACAGGGACATGTGTTTGACAGACCCTGAATGGGTCTGGAGGGTAAGTCTTATAAGGAAAGACTGAGGGAGTCAGGATTTTTTAGCCTAGGAAAAAGGAGGCTGAGGGGAGACCTTCTCGCTCTCTACAACTACCTGAAAGGAGGGTGTAGAGAAGCAGGGATTGGCCTCTTCTCCCAAGGAACAGGCGATAGGACAAGAGGAAATGGCCTCAAGTTGCACCAGGGGAGGTTCAGATTGGATACTAGGAAAAATTTTTACACGGAAAGGGTTATTAAGCATTGGAATGGGCTGCCCAGGGAAATGGTTGAGGCACCATCCCTGGAGGTTTTCAAAAGACATAGTGCTTAGAGACATAGTTTAGTAATGTGGGGTGGGTTTTTTGTATGGTTTTCTTTGGTTTCTTTAATCAGAATTAGGTTGATGGTTTGACTAGATCATCTTAAAGTTCTCTTCCAACCTAGACAATTCTATGATTCTATGATTGTATGCAGGGGTTTAAGAAGTTCATCACGCTTTGTAAGAAGAGACACTGTGATCACTCCTTGTCCATTGCTTGGCAGCATTAAGACTTAAACTATTTAAGCCTAAACTATTTAAAGGGAGACTTAAACAAATCTATCTGTTGCACTGCAAGTGTGTTCTCACAGACATCTCTGCTAAGGAGACCATAAACCAGCTCCATAAACCAGCCAAAAGGTATGACAATGACAGGTCCACCAGGGTCACAGCTTTATAGACCATCTCAGCCTCACCTACAGGACTCCCTCCATCCAAGCACCATCATGCATCTCAACCCAAATGGTGAAAGTCTCCTGCTGCTGACTGCCACTAAACCCTTTTCAACTGTGATTGTTTTTTAACTGCTGTTTCACTCACGCACGGTAAGAAGCCAGCAGGCAGCAGCAGCAATACCCCAGCTCCCAAGGACAGCCTTAGCAAACAAAAGCTTTAGCAGTTTAAGAAAATAATACTTACCAGGTTAAGGGGTGAAGAGAAGAGCTGGAACACCAAGGCTGCGGCTTTACAGCACAATGTCCAGGAGCAACACCAGATAAAAACACTTATTCACCCCCATCACTTCTGCATCTCCTTCCTGCCCCTGTGCTGTTGTGCCCCATCTCCATTCACGTGTGCCATACTCAGATGCTTTTTCTCTGCTATCAAGCAACAGGCCATGCAACTTGCAGTACAGCCTAGTTGGACTGTTACACTATACCTCAAATACTACAAGAAATCTTTCCCATTAGTGTGCCAGCAGGTGAGGACTAAGCAGATTCCAGCTGGAGCAAGGAGAGGCAGGAAGATGCACACAGGACAATGCAGGATGCAAAAAGCCAGACACATCCTGCAGAATTCACTGCTGCTGACAGGACACCCGATGCAGAGACCTACTTGAAGCGCAGCCTTGTTTACCTCGCTCTACTAACCTGCCCTATGTTGAAAGTCAACGTGATGGCATAGTAAAAATTGGAGTTGGCACTTCCTGCATAAATCCATAGATGCCACAGAACGGGGAACAGGAGGGAGCAGACAATGAGCACACATGACAGGATGAACGTGTTCCGGAGGACTGCAAAAGAAAACCAAGCTGTTAAAATGATGCACTACTGAGCAGCCATGCTCAATCAACCAGCAATGGTATTTAGGGTATGTGCAGTGGGGGAGAGGCACTTGCCAACACATACTTCTCTCCAACAATCTTTCACAGTTTGCTTTAATAATTTCCTGGGTAGTTTTTATAAGAAATCCACTATACTTCCCTTTAAAATAACTACTTTTGCCTTTGCTTGAATGTGAAATCTTCATTTGTAGCTCCTTCTAGATCCCGCTTCCAAACACTCCTCCTCAGAGGACTTGACTCTTCAGTGTTTACACTATAGTAACTAGCAGTTTTGAGAAGAGCCTTTCCACCATGATTCAGAGGGTAGAGCACACCATTCCATAACCCTCCCTGCCCTGTTTTATCACAGCTGCTTTGGCCTTGGCTTTAGGCTGCTTTAGTCTGAAACTAACAGAGCAGATGGTCTCCAAGTCTCTTGACTTCTGATTGTGTCTCCTGACATCAGTCAGGCTGGCTGTCCAGAAGCCCACTTGGCCTGGGTTAGAGAAGGTGGCAGTAACAGGCCCAAACAACCTCACAGGGCTGGTCAAAGCAGTTGGCTCAAGAAAGAAACATCAGAAAAAACACAGTGCTTCCAAATCTCCCAGTGTCTTGCAGGTTCTAGAGACTGAGTTTGAAAACCATCAGGAAGCTCTCCGGTGATTTAAAGAGCTAAAGAGTTTTTTTATGAAGCTTTTAAGAAAAGCTGGACAATTGCTTGGAGTTACTCAATTACTTTCACTCTAAGCAAACAAGCAGACGCAAATCAAAGAACATCTGCAACGTTCAGGATTTTAAGGCTGGGGGACTCACCAATTGCAGTATTCAAATCACACAGCCTTAAATGGCAGAGAAGCATTTAAAGGACAGATGTACTTTAAATAAGCCACATCCCTTGTGCAGGACTGTAAAAAGGTTCTTACAAAAATGTTAATATTAAGAACAACTTGGAGAGAGGAGGGAGATAAGGCACAAGTGAAAATTCTCTCCTCCCCTAATTTCAACCCTAATCCTAAAGATATGTTAGAAACTATCACCAGAAAAATCAAGCCTCCTTTCAATCAAGCCTTGAAGGAGGCCACAAGAGCCTGTGAAGATGGGCCTGGTTTGGTTTAGTGGTGACAATTGCTGGACCGGCCTTTTCCCATTCCAGATAAAGAACAATCAAACACAAAGAACTTACATCTGTAAAGGTGGCTCCAGACTGGCAGGAAGGCCATGTACAGTGCAATATCTCCCACAGTGGGATAGGACTTGAAGATAGAAATGATTGCAATCTGGACAAACATGAAGAACACAGGGTGTTCCCTAGAAGGGATAAGACACAAAGGGTAAGAGGATGCAGTAGGGTCTCTGGAAATTGGAAACAAACACTAGCAAGGGCACAAACGTACTGTGGGATAGGCTCAAATTGACTCTCGTACCCCTGGTCTCTTCAAACAAGCCCCTGAGAGCTGGGTGAGGCAGACTGAGCTGTTCTGCCCTCACACAGAAACTTAGTGCCTCAACTCAACATACATTTATACAGTTAGTTGGCCATCTGGCCAGCTCTCTCTTATTAACCAGAAAGCAATGAGCACCTCCTCTCTGAAGGTTAGTTGGAGAAGCCTATCATTATCCCCCTGGTACGTCATGATGTCTGTATCTATTCCAAGTCAACAGGGTATGCCCACTGAGGATCCAGGTGGATGTTTTTATCGGAAAAAGGGCAATGTTGACAGCGCAGTCCACTAGAAATGTCCCCAAGCTTTAACCTTTTTTTCTGACAATAAAGACCTTGAAGTTCCAGCCAAGAGTTCTTGCTTTCTGACTACATTGGCTTACGCTGGCAGGGAGCAGGCACCTCTATGGCCTAAATTTCTGCTCTTTCTTTTGATGTCTGTAACATATCCATTGCACTGCAGAGCCCAACTCCCCCTTTTAGAGGAATAGACTGAAACTTCAGGAAATGAGGAGGACATGTCCTGTTAAGAAAACCTGTATTTTTCAGGTTTGTAGATCCAGACATCTGATGCCAGCGTTATAAGCTTCCACTGGACAACTGAGAGTAAAAAAGCCAGAGGAGAAACATACTTACTTTAGCTTTATTGCCAAGGGAATGGTGTAGAAGAACACATTGATTTGAAACACACATACAAAGAAAAGACTGAAGTGTTCAAACATCTCTGCAAAGAAGTACCAGAAAAGGCCAATGTTGGGTGTCAGATCTGGAACGGATAGGCTGAAATTTGAAAAGAAAAGTCGAGGTAACATTTTTAAGTTGTTGTTTTTCATTACCTTGCTTCTGTTACGTTTAACAATCATTGTGTACTACTGGATGGAGGATCTGTATTTTAAATCAGTGGAAGAGAAACAAAAGAGGTGCAAACCTGAAGAGAAAAGGGACTAATCCTTCCTTCTGCCCCGGCAGGATTTAAACCATTACCAAGGAGACAGTTCTCCAGAGATGAAAATTTCACAGCCATGGTAGCTCAACAATCAAATCCACTTCCAATAAACTTAGTAGGAAAAATTTACTGTCTTCTCTATTTTTTGCTGTTGCTTAATTAATAGAGGTTGGGTAATGCCTGCTCTCCTCCACACACTCTTCTTTTCTTGCATTGCCAGTAAAATCACAGATCATACACTCCTTAGGAGAGGGAGTGGGGCACCTGCACGTGATCCACAAGAAACAACATAGGGGGAGCTAGACAAAAAAACTAGAAAGAATTCTTATACTTACATAAACCCATAAACAGATGGGATAAAATCCCAGGAGTTGAGGAGGAAGAAGGAGAGGCAGACGATCACCACCAGGCTGCATAGGTATAGGGCTGCATACTGCATGGTGTAGAGCCAGAAGCTTTTACTTTTCAGTTTTATTGGTATGAACTGACGCTGAAAATGAAAGACAAGCAGGCAGATATGCCTCATCAGATGGAAAGTCACAAGACAGCCTAAGTGTTCAGAACATGAGTTTAAATGAAAGCATCAAACATGGCACTATGGCACTGGAAGGAGCAGCTCTCAAGCACAATTTGCTTGATATCCCTCACTCTGGCCAATTAAGTCACACACATTGCACATATTTCCAGAACTGTGCTTGAAAATACAGTAGCTAAGCTAACAATTTCTGCTTGCAGCGAGTCAAGTCTCATGCACTCAAGATAAGATTTACACACACCTCCTCACAGCTACTTGCATCTTAGAATATTACTTATTGCATCTTGCAATACTGTACTGCTACCTGCCTTCTACTGCATGAATCCACATCAAGTGGGTGACCCAGAGTCCTGCTCCACGACCCACTACCCTGTGGTGCCAGGTCTCCACCACATGAATTGGCACTCTTGCTCTCCTGAGGGAAAGAGGACATCCAGTGGGTTCCTAAGCACAAAGGAACCCCTCTAAAAGGTCACCTCCTCGGACAAAGACAACTGCTGCAGTCCTGCCACGGCCACACAGAAACATAGAATCATAGAATGGTCTAGGTTGGAAGGGACCTTTAAGATCATCAACCTAATTCTGATTAAAAAAAACCCCAAAAACAAACCACCCCCCAAAAAAACCCCAAAACACACAAGAACCCATCACTAAACCATGTTCCTGAGCACTATGTCAACCCATCTTTTAAATACGTCCAGGGATGGTCCCTCAACCACTTCCCTGGGCAGCCCGTTCCACGGTTTAATAACACTTTCCATGTAAAAAATGTTTCTAATATCCAATCTGAACCTCCCCTAGTGCAACTTGAGGCCATTTCCTCTTGTCCCATCACCTGTTCCTTGGGAGAAGAGACCAACCCCAACCCTGGCTACAGGGGCTACTCCTTTCAGGGAGTTGGAGAGAGCGAGAAGGTCTCCCCTCAGCCTCCTCTTCTTCAGACTAAACAACTCCAGCTCCCTCAGCCGCCACTCACAAGACTTGTGCTCCAGACCCCTCACCAGCTCCGTTGCCCTTCTCTGGACATGCTCCAGCACCTCAATATATTTTTTGTGGTGAGCAGCTCAAAACTGGACACAGCACTCGAGGTGAGGCCTCCCCAGTGCCCAGTACAGGGGGACAATCACCTCCCGAGTCCTACTCCCCATGCTGTTCCTGATACAGGCCAGGATGCCGTTGGCCACCTTGGCCACCTGGGCACACTGCTGGCTCATATCCAGCTGACTGTTGACCAACACCCCCAGGTCCTTTTCTGCCAGGCAGCTCCAGCCACTCTGCCCCCAGCCTGTAGCGCTGCAGGGGGTTGGTGTGACCCAAGTGCAGGACCTGGCACTTGGCCCTGTTGAACCTCATCCCCATTGGCCTCAGCCCATTGATCCAGCCTGTCCAGACCCCCTGCAAAGCCTTTCTGCCCTCCAGCGCATCAACACTCCCACCCTTGGTGTCACTTACAAACTTACCAAGAGTGCACTCGATCCCCTCCTCCAGGTCATTGATGAACAGGTTAAAGAGAACTCGCCCCAATACTGAGCCCTAGGGGACACCACTTGTGACTGGCCACCAACTGGATTTAACTCCTTCACCACCACTCTCTGAGCCCAGCCCTCCAGCCAGTTTTTAACCCAAAGAGTACTCCAATCCAAGCCATGGGCAGCCAGTTTCTCCAGGAGGATACTGTGGGAGACTGTATCAAAGGCCTTGCTGAAGTCCAGGTAAATGTCGTGATAGGTCAGCCACAAGCCCTTGTCACATAACATGACATACAGGTATCTTACTCCAAGAGGTCCCCTGACTGCATTTCTAAAGACACAGGGACAAACACCTTTGGGAATTGCTCAGTTTTGCAGCTCCAAGTCAGTGATGCAGCTTTTCCATTTGGTATACTAGGGTTTACACCAGCAGATGTACAGGGTGGCAGCTCTAACTGCTTTGGGCTCTGTGTAAAGCATCCTCTGTTTTCTCAGCCACGATGTGTTTAACACCACTTGCTGGAATAATGTAAGCAAGTTTACCAAGGATTTTTGGCAGGTCACATAGAAAGTGCTGCAGAAAAGCTACTTAATTCTGTATAAAGAATGCAGGAAAGTTCATTTACAAATCTGGACAAAAGAACACATATTAACATGATCCCACTTAAAAGTTGCAGATTAGGCATTCACATATCAAAGCACTTCTTGATGCTTGTGAATAAAATGCTCGCACTTTACTGCCACTTTATACTTTGACTGAAGTTAAAAGCAAACAAATGAAACCAAAATATAAAATATATAAAGTAAATGCTCCTAAAAATTATCGAACTGAAAAAACAATACTGACTGTAGAAGTTCTTGTCTTGCAAAGCGTAATAATAGTAACATTTCTTAAAAAAAAGCAAGAAACATTCGCATCAGATAGTCAGGGAAAGAAAATGGACTAGAACAGACTTTCAAAGCTCAGAGATTTGAGAATAGGCTGTAATGAACCTGTAGTTAAGATCAACTATAAAAATTATGAGGGAGGGAGGACAGAAGCAACCAAGACAGACTGGCAAAACACTCAACAGCAGGACTTTCAGAATGGCAGAAATAATGAAAATGGTCACCAAGTGGTCTGTGAATTGGGATAAAAGTCCTCTCCTAGCAGTCACAGCCTCACCTTACTCCCATATCAGAGTAAAACTAGCAAGTGATCAGTTCTCACTAAGCGCATGATATTTTGGGCTCTTGGTTGAGGCATTGTTTACAGTATCAGCACAAGAGCTGAGAGAGATCAGCTGGAATCATGCAGGCAAACCAGTGATGAATCCATTCACTAGCAAAGAGCTGCCTTAGCTTTGAGCCCCAGCCCTGCCTGCAGATGCGCCACTAGCCTGCTGCTGGGCTCGTTTTGTCTGGAGGGGTGTCTGTCTGTCGAGGCACTATGCATCCCTGAATGTTCAAGGTCAGCCCCGCTGGAATTCAGGGGTCCTGTTAAGGGGGAGGGAGAAAGGACAAAGGCAACTGGCTGCTTTCACAAGCACATGCCATTAAGTTACAAACCACTGTTTCTAAGTTTGAGTGATTCAAACATACAGTTCCTCATTCTTCCTCTCCAGGCCTAAAATCCTTATTGCTATTCACACAGCACAAAGAATAGCACTTATTTCCAGCAAGCTAAACACCTGCCAGTTCTTTAGATGACTTTCTGCTTCCTTCTCTCTATGCACAGGCATCACCACTAAAGCTTCAAATTTCCAATGTCTTGAAAAGAGTCACTTTTTCTGAAACTCAGGACGTGCCCTCTCAATAACTAAGGACTGCACAGCTACATGAAGAGGACAGATACCAACAGTTAGAAATCATCTACCTGTAAAAGGTAAAGGAGTGCTGGAGCAAACAATGTAAGAGGGTAGAGTGACTGGTATGTTGCCAAGGCCAGGAACACAGCACTGAGGAAGGCACTACCTGCAAAATATAAAAAAAAAAAGTTTATTACTAAGGAATATTTAATATAAACAGCCTTACAGGTGAAAGTCCAAACGGGAAGAAATGCATAACCCTCTGCAGGGGCTTTATACCACTTATCAGAACACCACATAAAGGCAGCTTTAGCAGAATGTATCCTGGAGTGTGTCCTTTTCTTAACTACATTTTAAATGGAGAATGACTCATACCAAGGTGATTCTCTGACAAGTCCCTAATTGGTTTATATCTCCTGTAATTCACATACAGCAAGAGATTCATGCAATTCAGTCTATATATAGACCACACTGGCTGCTGTTTATTCATGGAAATGCATTCACTTAAGTTATATCCGCATGAAACAGCTGTTTACTCATACTGGGCATGCTGGATAACCTTGTCACCAGAATGTGTCAGGGTCCTCAGCAAAGTTCTGTGAAAGACAGCAAGCGAAAGGCTGCAGCTGAAGGAATGCAGTGGCATTAGCCCTACTATACAGATACCACATCTGAGGCATAGAAAGCATAGCTTTTCTAAGTTATCTTAAAAATATGAAAGCCTTTATTGAGGAAGCTTTATTTGAGGCATCTCAGGCTGAGCTAAGTGCTGAATACTCACATTGCCCAACTCCCAACACCAGAAATCAAGTCCAAAATGTCCCAGGTTAAACAATAAAAAGACAAGCACCCAGTGCAGTGGTCTGGTTTTAGCCTTCAGTCATATTTCACTTCATGGAAGTCATCTGTAAAAATATAGCTTTGATACCAAGAATCCTGACTCAGTGCACTGGACTAATGATCAGCCTACTGGCATCAAATGCTCGGTAAGCGTCTCTCTGCTGAGAATTAGCTGGTAATGAGCCTTCTCCACTCTTCAACTACAGTCTCCTAGACAGAAACCTCCCTATCCTGTACTTTACTGAGTGTTCAATTCTGAACAGTTCTAAAGAATTTATACCCAGGAATCACAGCCACAATCTGATATCCTCTCTTTGCCCACTTTAAAACCTAGCAGCTGCCACACTCCCAACTCAGAGAGCAAACACAGAGGACAGCCACTAGAGTTTTATTTAGGACTGAACTTATGGTATCAGTGAACAGTTAAAAATCAGTTTAACTAAATGAATCCCACTCATTTGCTTTTGCAAGTGCTTCTAAATCAAAACTCCTCCTGACTTAGTTACTAATTGGAGGAAAACTTTCTTTTGGAAACACCAGTATAACCAACCTATATCAGCTTTCTTCACAATCTCTGGGTCTGGGCACTGCTGGAGACAAGAGATCAGACTGACCTTTCTTCTGATCTAACACAGAACTCCTAAAACTTAGGTGACTGGTACAAATCGCACATGGTAAAAGGCTTTAGCACTGGGCAGTTATGAAAGAAACAGAAAACTGGCATTATGCATAAAACAAATTAAGCAGCTATTCTGTCATCACCTATTTAACTGTGCCAGAATGGGTCTTTAGGTACTGTTTCTGCTTTCTCAAAACTCAATCACCCAATTTCAAACCAAGGTTACAACAGAGAGCGAAAGGCAAAGAACACTCAAGCAACTGCTTGCTTTTGAATAGAAGTTCAAAGATATACTTTGAAAATAAATTGTATACAATACTTTAAGGGCATATTCATATACAAAAGAATGAGCAGCAAAGGCTCCTAACATACAGACATGCATTTCTTCATAAACAGAAAACTATTCGAGGTTCATCCAGGAAAAGGAGTCAGTCTTTAGAGATTAAACTCCTAGGTACATGAAGATGAAAGTGTTGACTTGACTATAAGGTCTATTGATCTTTTGTGATTTCAAGCAGAACTTTGACCTTGCTCCAGTCCCTGTTTCTGCTGTGTTTCACTGAGATCTTTGTAGCAATCATATTTGTACATTTCCACCTTGATTTCATTTCTGCTCATTTTCTAATCTTTACAGAATGACATAATGAAGCATTTTTTCTTCATTGCATTACCTTTTATTGTAGCTAAAATGAAGAATGCAATGACAGTATTGTTGATAGCACAGGTGGACTTTGCCACGCAGGACATCACAGTGTAGGGGTTTAACAGATAGCTGAAAAAAAGCAAAGCTCAAGTTACACTCATGCCATTCAAAGGAGATAACATCTAATTAAAGAGATGTAAAAAGGAAAACCAGATGCAATTTGCCATTTCTATTTGTTTATTTACATTTTATGGGATCCTCTAATCATCAAATTAATTCAATTGAACAGGTTCTTTAGTCTGGAGAAAAAAAAAAGATCCTTTGATTGTATCCTTGGATATAGTGGACACAGGGAGCACACTAGAGAAATGGATATGGTTTGGAAGACATCTAAAATGGAAGTTCTATCCTAGAAAAAGACTACCAAAAATGTTCCTTGCTTTGCAGAAACACTGTTCAGTTAGACCTAGGAATACTGGATCCAAAGTAAACTCTCTCTGCTACTCACATCTACTGACTCAGAATGTAATTAAAATAAGAAAATAGCAAGATGGAAAAAAATCACGAGACATTAGCAGAGTCTCCCCCAACCCAATTGCACGCTCCTGCTATGGCAGAGCAATCATTTATGTTCACCACAACATAATCTGAGCACAAAACCTGCCAGCTAGGAAAATCTGGCATATTTGAATTGGAATTATGGGGAGACAGCAAACTCTGAACACCTTTACCTTCCAGTTAGTAAGGATGCCAGCTCCTTTTGGAAATGAGAACTGCAATAACCTCAAAAGCACAGAAAAATGTTTAAAGGGGGGTTACTAATACAACAAGCAAGATAATTTATCGATCAGCCTTGCTAATCAATCATCAGAGTGAGTAGACAGAGCTGATGATTTGCTAATTATCTCTTTGCATGAACATTTTTCCTACTTCTCCCGAGTCCCACTCTGGTTTTTAATGTGTTTCCAGAGATACAGCCTACAGCAGAGTAGGTACAACTTAATGCCAACTTTTCTGTGGTTACGTGCAATGATGTCAAATACAAAGCAGTCGGCAATTTACAGACTCTATCTTTCTCACCTTGAAGAATTTACCATTTTACAAAATTCATACAAAAAGAAGAAAAGATAACAACCTAACAGAAAACTCTCTCTGACACAGAATAATTCAGATAATGATTCATTCACATCAACCCCCCCAATTAATTCTTTGACACTAGGTACCTTACTTCTATATTATTTATTTTAGTTGAAGCTCTCTAAAATAAAAAAAATAATGCTTAGTATACAGAGGAACACTAAGACATGACGTTATTAAGATGACAACCTGAAAATATATTTGAATTATTATAAGCAATCATGGAATATTCAAGTTGTGATATTCAGCAGACATTTTGTTTGACTGCTCAAAAATTCCCCTATCTTTTCTGAAAAGAAACCTGAGATATTTGGGAGGCATAAAATCAGTTTTGACAACATTAGCAAACAAGCTAAATAAATGGGCATGTGATCTGTGCAGATACAACATTCTTGCTACCAAATTAATGACCTTATGCTGTTAAGCTTGTCCTAGAGGGCATGGGTGAATTTAATTGTGGGCAACAAACATTTGGAAAAGCATCGGCTTTTCACTTTCAAACAGAGTATTCAGAGCTGAGGGGATTTTTATGTATAATAGGAAATTCAGAATTTCTAGTGAAAAAAGAAAAATCTTCAACACATGTTGAAGCCCCAAATCAGACCAATAAAACCCAAAGGGAGGTGTGGAACCAAAGCAGCCCACTGCAGCTTGCAAGAAGCCTTACTTACAATAGTGCTACCTTGAGGGGGATGTAGTGCATTTCCAAGGGCGTCCGGATGAGTTCAGCCACATCTGGTGCATATTTATCCAGTTCTATCAGGAGCTTTTGCTTTTTGAACTGAAAAAGGGAGAATGACCAAAGAATGTCAGATCAAGAAAGTCATTATTTCTTACTACTCAGGATTTCCACTACAGCGGAACAGTATATGTAAGCTCCAGGTGTAAGCCAAAACTCGTATTATGTGAGGTGCTGTGCAAACAACAAAATACCCCCCTCTTTTACCAAATATTTAACAACTGAAATGGGAGTCATGAGAAAGCAGATAATCTCTATTTGAACTTCCTTAGCTCTCTGTGTCTAACTCTTGACACAGCTGACAGTGAATTCACCACACTGGAAGTTAATACTTTCAGTCTTCCTAAAGCTTGTCTGGAGCTCCAAGAAAAAGTTGACTTTATAAATTCACTGTTGAACATACAATTCCGTAAGAAACCAAGTCACAGAGGTATGCAGCCTTTGTTCTTTAGATACCCCTGTGCCAAATCTCCTTTAGGGACCCAAGATCACTCTCTCTAATCTATTTTGTTCTATGATGCTCTCTATGGAGACAAAAGAGAAATCTGAATTATGAAACTACTGAACTATGTCATGGTGAGACAGAAGGGGAGATGCTGGCAAGAAATTCTCAGCAAGCAAAGTAACCTGCACGCAGTATTTTACAGGTCTGCAGTTCTATCAGCAGTTATTTCTTCAACCTCAAAGTCAGAGGACAAGGAGCAAGTATGTAGCTGAATGGGAGACTACACAGATGCTGTAGAAAAGGCAGCCTCCCTGTGCATGTTGATCTTGAATCACCCCTCCAGGACCTCAGACAGCATAGCGCTGCTTACACAAAATGGTCTTTGAGTTACTTATAACAGAGCTGGGAGGAATCACTCACCTTGAAACACATGTACTTATACTTTGAAGGGAACAAGTAATATCTGGTGTCAGACCTTCACCTTGCTCAGTAGAATGAGTAATGTCACCTCAGCATCCTTGGAAGGTTTATTCCTTCCTTGACATAGTTCCAGTCTGTGTATTAACTCATGTTTGTGTGCAACACAAACCATGCTCAGGGGAAAATACTCCAGGCTCTATCTAGGACATGTGCAGAAGAATGTAGCAGGAGCAGAGGTGAGAAAAGGGAGTGCTCAAGTCTTGACAAATGCATAGTCCAGTATTTCTGCGTACTGCAAACTGCCATAACAACTAAAGACGAGTTTTCAGCACATCTTCTAAAATCTCACATCCCATCTTGTGTACCATGACCCTACACTTGTCTGTGTTTCATTAGCTATTCCATTCTCACAAATTTATCAAGTTCTTTATACTCTTTTTGGATTAAAGACTCCACACTGCTGTGATTATCATTCAAGTGCAACGTGGTAGCTACAGACACTAATACCGTAATACCGCCACAACAAAACTTTAAATATCCCCATTGTTTATCACATTTGGTCCCCAACTCTATCGATCATCCAGATATAATCAGTTTTACTGCAACAAGGACTGGTTGATACTGCCCCCTCTGGCATATGTTTCTTTGGTACAAGATATTTATTTATACTTGCTGGGAGAAGAGGATCAGCAACATTGGCATGTCAGCTTACCACAACTTTGTTGAAGTCCTGAATGGCCAAATAAAGGGCAACAGCAGTTAGCACATCAGTTATCTAAAAAAGCAAGGCATAGACAGACTGACTGTAAGCAAAATAAACAAAAGGAGAAAAAGATATTGGGCAATACTGCAATGCTGAATAAGGACTCTGATCTGACTCCGCTCACAAGAAGAAAAAACAAGCTTTACAAACACTAGATTGCTGATCTGTACACTGTAATTACACAGTACCACTTAACCTTGAATCCATGAAATATGTCAAAGACATCAATATTTACAAAACAAGAGAATGGGGAAATAAGGGGAAAGGCATATGTGAGGGTAATAGAATCACTGGTCTAATTAGAGCACGGGCAAGAGTGGGGCAGTCTAAACCCACTTGTCCATTAATCCAGCATGACAGTCCCTTGAGCTGTCCCAGACTTCCCAGGCAGCAGCACAGTTATCCAAGCAACCAGCATAAGCACAACGCAAACGGCTATTAGTTCTGCATGAGATCTACCCAGCAGGGATCTGGGGACAGAGGCTCTACCAGATGGCACCTGCTATGAGTTCTGTCCTCCTGAACTACGCAGAACTCCGACAACAGTTTACAAAAGATGTTTGGAGGACTAACCTGTTTGTGCTGTCTTTGCAGGCCTGGCGTTTGGCAGCGGGTTTTAGTGAGAAACACTGCAGTGTAGGGATTGGGGCAAAATAGTCTGACGTTCAAGAGGTAACCTTTGAAATTTGAAACCAAATGCTAACTTCTCATCCCTCTGTGGGGATGATTATCTAGCCAAGAACTCTCAAAAAAGGAGGAATATGTATAACAAGGGAAAAGCCTGAACGTAGGTTTGTACAGGCAAAGCTGCCCTTCTAATCAAACTGTGAGCTCAGCAGGAATCTGAACCACAGGGAGGCTAAAGGTCCCTGATTCTTGCAGGAGTAAAAGGAAAGTCATACTCAGCACTTCACAGAATGGAACGTTTCCAGAGTAGCTTTCCAGGGGCACTCACCATGAACACCAATTCGGCATATTCAATCAGGAAGTGGAAGAGATATATTATCAGTGGGGTCTAAAAGAGAACAGCAGGGAAAACCACATCAATTCCTGTCCAGATAAAACAACTGGCGATTTGATGAGAAAAATGGTAGTACTATAAGAGACTGCGAAAGGCAATTTTCCTTAGCCTGTTCTACAACGCTGTTACATCAGAGCAAAGTGATTAATCGAAGCACATTTCACTAGTCTTTTTCTCTCCACAGTTCTCAATACACTTTATAAAAGACACTATCAACTTTGAAAATTCCATTCTATTCCAACTTTTCAATTCTTCTAGTGTAGTGGTAGAGTTACAATAGAAAGCATATAAATCACGGAATCACGGAATTGTTGGAGTTGGAAGGGACCTCTAGAGATGATCTGGTCCAACTCCCCTGCTAAAGCAGGAGCACCTAGAGCACATTACTCAGGACTGCATCCAGGCGGGTCTTGAAGATCTCCAGAGAAGGGGACTCCACAACCCCCCTGGGCAGCCTGTTCCAGTGCTCCGTCACCCTCACCATAAAAAAGTTTTTTCTCATATTTGAGATATTCTAAAGAATAGCTTTAGAAAATATTTTTTTCCAGAGAATCTATTTTTTCAGGTTGTTTGCAGGTACTTTTGAGTGCATTCCCTACATAGCTGGTTTCACTGTTTAGCCTGTTCAGATGAGTCTCTTATAAAGCGAAAAGAAGAAAGCATGTTAAAACATCAAGCAGTAGGACTACAGTCCTATCATCCTCTTACTCCCACAGCCTTTCCATACTATGGTAAGAGAAAGAGCATGTTTCTGAATCATTCCTTTGACAGAAAAGGTTCATCTGGAAGTAGTATATTTACATGATGTAAATTCAGTCTTTATGGTGAGAAAATATATTTCTTTTGAAATACTTTTAAAACAATGTGATGATATAAATAAGCATAGAAAATTATTTCATAGTCTGGGAGAAAACTGTTGAAAGAAGAATTTAAGGAAGAGAAACAAGTTTTCAGAAGTATACAAGTATCTGCCTCCCCCTAGGTGACACTAGGTGTGAGTGTGCCTTCATAACAGTGAGAACACTCAAGGGCACAAAACGCCACAGGCATTTAAGTGTTTGGAGGAAAGTGGTGTTTTCAAGATAAGGAATAAATGTAACTGCATGCTTGTGCTGATCTTAATATTTCTGCAAATGCAGAAACTCAAAATGCTGCTATCTAGTAAAACTGTGTTCAGACTCATAATGACAGTCTGTTCCTGCTCCAGCTTCTGCTGACAGAAGCATCCGGATGTGAACAGAGCACTTTACTTATTACAGATTTCCCCTATTTCAGACTTACTTACGCAGTAACAAATATTACGATGTCTATCACCTGCACAGCAACAAGAATTCAGTAATGAACTGCATTTTCTTGTTGTGCTAGTCCCTACATGTACAAGTACTGCACAGACAACCGCACAACTCCAAGTTCTCTGAAGTCTTTGGGACGAGAGAGAGGTCCCATGTCCTTGCCAGTCCATGAGCAGTAAGACTGAGAAACATGCCACTTGAGTATCATATTTAAAATGAAGTATGCATACCAACCTCATGGAAAATAGCTCCAGAATATGGAGAGACCCCTAAATCCAGCAGAGCTAATCCTTCGACCACTGAAACACACAAAATGCCTGCATTAGAATGTGGGAAGAGAAAAATCTCATGATGGTAAAACTGTAGTTTTAAAAATATCCACAGTTAAGAATCTCACATGGCATCACCATCTGAACGGGTGACACAAAATCTCACAAAGCCAACAGCCAGCTAGAATTGATTGCTTTCTTACATTTGCCATGCAAATGTCTTTACTAACTGAATGGTTCATTGTAATCTATTTATTTGTTTCAGCTAAAAATGTTATAGATGAAGTATTTTGCACTTAACTATATAAAAATCACATGTATGATTTTTATTGATTTTACCTACTATCTGACACATGGTATCTATGCTGGAGAAATACTTAATTCTAAGAGGGCAAATCACAATATAATATAGAATTTGAACTACTTTGCCAGATTAGATGTAGAGAGACCTGAAATGTCCAAAACCAAAATAAAAGAACAGAAATATTACCAGGCAAAGCTAAAAGCTTTATCTGTTGAAACTTCCTGACATTTAGATCCTTTGCAATCATGTCATTACAGCTTGCACTGCAATGCAGGCACATGTTTTACCACAGGATCTCCCCTTTATGGGGCAAAGATGTTCCCTGGGTACTAAGCAGCATACTCAGTGGAAGCTACGGGAAACAGGTCCATTTGTTCAGAGGGAAGTGAGGCAGAAACTGCAAGAGGCAGCAAGAGGGTGTCCATTCAGCAATATGCTGGAGAAGCAGGTTCTGTCTCTGCCACAAAGTTCCCATATGGTCACAGCCCAGACTTTTTGAGGTGATCCTAATTTGTGCTCCTTACTCTCTAGATTACCACCTTTACACCCTATGGTGAGATTTAGAAAGTATCCATTGCTGCAAGGGAATTTTTGGGAGCTGTATTTTGAAATGATGAAGTGTGAAGTGCTACACACTGTGGAACAGAGGCATCAGGTTATCAAATACATTCATACTTCTGATCTTTATTACTCTGTGCCACTGTTTTACTCCAAAAACTGCAAATAATTTTACCTGCATAATAACTGGATATTATTTTCCCAAAGGGCTGTATTTAAAATAAATGAAGGTTCCTAATGGGCTCAGATGCTACAGAGATCAATGCCACCAAAAAGCCTTAATTAGACTGTACCTCAGCCTTCAGAAGAGAAGTTGACTCATGTTGGTGACAATGTGTGGGGCCACAAACTAAGCAAGGAAAACTAACGAGTGGATGGGTGGATATCTCTGCACAAACTGGAGACACGCTGTCACATTCACACCGGCAGACAGTGCTTGTGCAAGAGGAAAGTGACTCAATCAAGGCTGCTGAAACTACATATTCACTGCCAGATTTTATCATTCTTCCATTTTATGGACTCGGGTGAGACAATCAGCCTGTGGAAGCGGGAGCACACGATGGCTAAACTTCGGTCCTCCTGCTCTCGGGCCACTGTCCCTCCCGTCCCTTTGCCGCTGCCAGACCGTCGTCCTGTCCTGGGGAACAACTCCCACCCGCCATTTCACGTAGCTTTCGGGCAGGTCGGGAGCGGAGGGGCCTGTCCCTAGCCCCGATAGTGCAGCTCAGCGCTCTCCCCATGGACCGTGCCCAGAGACAGGCCCCTGCCCGCCTGCAGCCGCGCTTCCGGCCCGGCTGGTCCCCCGCCACGGGCACCCTGCAGGCCTCGGCCCCTCAGCCGCGCCGGGGAGCGGCGCTCCGGCCCGGGCCCGCCAGGCCTCACCTCGCTTCCAGGCGTTCAGCGGGGACGCCACCTCCACCCGCTCGGAGATGAAAGCAGCGAGGCTGGAGCGATAGAGCGCGGCCCGTACCGTCACGGCCACCAGGACCACCAGCAGCAAAGGAGCCGCCATCCTCGTGGGCAGACACCGGCTGCCGCCGCCTGTAGTTCTCGGGCGGCGCCGGAGAACGCGGCGCCAATGCACCGGCCCGGCCGGGAAGACTACATATCCCAGGCCACCCCGCGCCGCCCCGCCGCTTCCCGGCACGGCCTGAGCGCTACGGCGAGCGCAGCGGGGCCAATCCAGTCGGAGCGCGAAGGCGCTGGGCGGCTTCCCCTATCTCGCCGGGCGGGGGCGGGCTGGGCAGGCCAGGCCCCGCAGCGGAAGCGGGGTTCGCCGCTCTACTCGGGGGGGGAACTGGAAAGGCAACAGCAAGGAGGACACGAGGGTTCGAGATAAAGACTGTTTAATAAGTCCAGAGGGAAAAAAAAAGAGGAAAACAAGAAATGTGACAGCAGCTGCTGACCCCCTCTCACCAGCAGAGCGATGCCAAGCCATCCTCAGGCAATGGCTGCCGTGGAAAGACCCCCCACCCTGTGTGCTCGTGGCGCTAAAGACGGCACCGTGCTGGCTGCAATGGCGTGAACGGGCTGTGCCCCAGCCAGGCCTAGGGCAGGAACCCCCTGTGCCCGCTCCCGACCCTCACCCCTGCAAGGTGCCCGTGAAAAACAGGGCGTTTGACTTCTTGGGAGAAACCTGAGAACGCTCCCGGTCTGTGGTGGGCATCCAGCTTCTCCTGCATCTCCCGGAAAGCACAGGCAGGACCCTCTGCCCGTCTCTTCTGCACCCCGGGGAAAGGCCTCTCTGATTTGCACAAACAAAGTCTCAAAAGTGAGTTTTCCACAGCGGTTTTCCTAAACCTCCCCAACTGACAGCCCCCAACGGCAAATGCTGCTCACAAACACCAGCCCCCACTGGCTCCCCGGGGAAAAGCACTCGGAGCTGAAGGGAGAGCTGGAAAAGGAGACACCAAATACAAGTTCCAGGTGTTCAAACATCCGTTCCCGTTGTTGTGTGACCCCAACAGCACTGGGACATGCCATGTCCAGAGAGAACGCCAAACTCCCCTCACTTTTCCCCTCCTTGAACTGATGAGACTGGACGTGCCTGGCCCCACCAGCCGTGTGACGTCACCAGCAGCGGTGGGATGTCACAGTGCGTCTCCATGGCGAGCCAAGGCTCTACCCAGGGCCACGGGGCAGTCGGCACCAATTCCTCCGCTGCCCGCTCTGACACTGCGACCTGCAGCACCCACCGACCGCTTGCACCAGCCCCATGGCTACTGCTGACCGAGGTGAAGCCTCGCTGCTCCTCCTGGGGGGCTCCGCGCCACCAGCGGGGAAACCCCTCAGCAGCTCTCCCGCTCTTGTCCTAGGCTTTGGAGCCACCGGCGAAAGGGATGGACCCTGGGTGGGCACCTGGAGACCCCACCGCCCACGGGGTCCTGTCCTGGCGCAATTCACCAGCCCAGGACCCAAGTACACTGTCCTAGGGACAACAGGTAACAGCACCAGCACAAGGGGGACTGCAGGGCTACCACCTCGGGGGACACTTAACAGCAGCGTTTGGCTGATATTGGGGTTCATGGCACCCGCATCGCCGTTGCTGGAAGCAATCACCCCATGGGATTGGCTCCTGCTCTCATTCCTGGAGGAAAAAGTCACAGGGGCAGGGAATTTTGGGGGTCGGCAGCAGCTCCCAGGAACTGGCTTTCCAAGGCCCCCGCGGGCAGGGGTCCTCTCACAGCCTTCTCTCCCCAGGGCACCTGGCTCACAACCCCACCAAAGCCAAGGCCCCTGCGTACAGCATCCCTCTGGCCAAGCTGCCCCCGCTCGCCAGCTGCTCCCCGGGACCACGCTACTTTGTGCCCCCCGAGATCACCAGGAAGGGGAAGTACACCTCTCCCTCCCAGCACATCTGCGGGCTCCCGAAGATCAAGACGGAGATCACCCCTGGGCCCAGTGAGTGTCCTTTCTCCAGCACCTCTGCCCGGCAGGGCGAGCACCCCGTCCCTCTGCCCCGCGGCCGGGCTGCAGAGCCCTCGGCTGGCGCCTGCCTGGGCTCCAGAGGCTTCCGCAGAGAGGGCCAAGGGGGCTGAGCCGCCCTCTGGGGCTGGAGGGGAAGCCCCAGCTTCACCGCTCTTCTCCGCTTCTCCCCTGCCCCAGGTGACTATGCCACCGAGAAGGCCACCAGGCAGATCTTCAAACGCCCGCCGGAGCAGCACATGGTGTTCCGGCACAAGGAGACACAGAGCCAGACGCCAGGTGAGCAATGAACGGGGGGACATGCCCACACTCCCAGCCACCTCTCCCCCGCAGAACATCTGCCGGGCAGCTGCACCCCAGCCCCCGGGGACACCACCATCTCCCCACAAGCTGCTTGGTGGCCCCGAGCACCCGCTTCTCCCACCCCAGGACCCGGCTCAGGCTGGGAGCTGCTGACGCTGGCACGGGACGCCCCCCTGCCCCGCTCCCCGCGGCGCTCACCCCTCTGCCCCTTCCCCTTCAGGTCCTGGTGCCTACACGCTGCCCAGGCTGGTGGGGCCCAACACCGCCTACACCACCGCCAGCCCCTGCTACACCGTGGTGGGCAAGAAGAAGCGTGGTGGATTTGCCGAGGACCTCGCCAGGGTGAGCTGCTCTCCTCCGCTCCCTCCCGGCCCCACAGCCACGGCTCCCCCGGCTCTCTGCTGGTGGCCC